TGTCCGTGCCCATCACAGGGATTGCAGTGCCGGCTATTCGGCTTTGTGAAAAATTAAAAACCGCAACAATAGCTGGAATAATTAGCTCTGTGGGTGTGTTCCAACAGCTCATCGTGTGGGTCTTTTCTCTTTCTGCCTTGTTCCCTCCAGCACTCACTCACTGTGAAGTTCCTGCACATCTTTCTGCAGCTCCCTGTTTGACGTGAACTTTTGTCCATTAAGGAACGAGTTTGGCTCAGCTTTCTTACCCGTAGCTGAAGCCCTCTAATCAACTCATTAGTCGACTCTAAAACGTGAACACAGTCTCGTTAAGCTCCTGCTATTTACACCTGGAGTTACAGATTTCCTTTTGCTATCAGAGGAAACATTGATGGGTTTTGGACTCAACCTCAGAACGTCGTTACGCTACTGCTTTTTACCATACCATACCATCTTTATTTATAAAGCACATTTAAAAACGGCATGGCAGCCGACCAAAGTGCTGTAAAGAATAAAAAGTAAAAACACAATATAAAACAATACACGGTCAACAATAAAATGCACAACAAGGCAGATAATTACAGTCAATAAAAAGACACATAATAAAATAATAAAAGTCAGGGATTTAAAAATGCCTGGTCGTAAAAGTGAGCCTTCAGCAGCGATTTGAACCGGAGGAGGGATGGTGCCAGCCTCACTGAAAGAGGAAGAGCATTCCAGAGTGTCGGAGCAGCATAGACAAAAGCATGCTGCCCCCGCGTTTTGTATTTCATTGTTGGAACGCGAAGAAGCAGGCAATCAGCAGACCTCAACGCCCGGTTTGGCACATACCTAGTGACAAGATCCGACAGGTAATCCGGTGCCAGACCGTTTAGGGCCTTAAAAACAAAAATCAGGATTTTAAACTTGACCCTAAAGTTTACGGGTAGCCAGTGGAGCCGCGCCAGTACAGGTGTGATATGTTCTCTCCTAGGAGTGTTTGTTAAAAACCTGGCTGCCGCGTTTTGTACGACTTGAAGCCTGTTAAGAGCGGAGGCAGGTAACCCAATTAAAATGGAATTTGCGTAATCCAGTCGAGAGATGATAAAAGCATGGATTACGGATTAAAGGTTTTATAGATGTTGTTTTATTTTGAGTCAGTTGGAGGGAAATTTCCATTTAAACATCTACTAAACACTTTGTTTTCACCAGTAAATTATCTTTGTCTTCTGCAGATTTTGCCCAAAAAAGATGTAATAAAGTTTTTCTTTTGTCTGAACATGACGTCACAAGAAGAGGGGTTAAAACAAATAAACGGTTAGTGTAATCTTTCTCACCGGTTTTTGGCGGTTAGGCTGCGGGACACAATAGTTTTGTCTGTGAATATGGACAAAAAACTATTTCAGATCAGATCAGTTTTATTGAGACTTACAGAAAATAATCCATAGATGAAGAGCTGCACCATTGTTGGGCCCAATGCCAGTACTCTCGCTGCACCCTACCGTGTACCGAGAAGTGCACTTGGAGGAAGTGTGCACTAAGGCTTCGAGTGTGTGTACACAAGTGTGCAAATAATTGCAGAATTGAGACAGTGAACGTTGCGTCATCGACCATGACGCATGCCAGCATGCCGGTGGCTGTTTGTGCTACTTAAAAAAAAAAACTTTATTACTAACTTTCGAGCAAAGGACTGACAAAATTTACATTAATTGCTGTCCACATTTAAACAGTCTAAAATATTCAGAGCATGAATAAATATCATTTTTTCTCTCAAAATAAACTTCTTTTATTTGAAAATACATATTTTTAGAAAAGGCACTTGTACCGCCTTCTTCCGAAAATTCCCATGCAGCAATGGGTTGTGGGTAATACCCTTTGCCCAAGTCTGCATTGATACGAATTAAGCGCAGATTAAGGGTGCAAAAGGGGCGTGGTCAACTTCCACACTTGATAATCGGGACACTACGCACACACACCCCTGGACTGGAACGTGTAATTGAAGGGTGCAAGGATGGAAGTGCGAGAATTGGGATTGGGCCTTTTCAATTCAATTCCAATATGGCCGCAAACCTAGCAAGCACAATGTCTCGGTCTGTTTGAGATATATATATCTAAATGTCATTTTGTAGCAGATTATGATTATTATTAACAATATTATCATTAAGAAGAACTGTTGAGTATTCATTATCAAATGCACAATTTTATTGTCAAAATTCAAAGTAAATGTGTAAAAATGAACATGTGAACCAAGCAGATTACTTCGGAAACTCGACAGCAAGGAACTTTTCTCCCATCGAAGCCTGACTGAGGCAGGTGATAAAACCCAGCTCACCGTTGGTTCATCCCAAAGGGCGTGGAGGGTGTTTGAGATAGAGCTGCAGGTCAGTCAAGGTCGTCCACTCGTTGATGGACAGTCCCCATCTCCTCAGGTCTTACGGGAGGATTTGCTGCTCCTGTCTGCTTTCTATCAGTTTGGTTTTAACATGTATACAGACGAGACATGCTCCAATTATTAAAACAATGGTCCGATACCAAAATGACTGAACTTTAGCGTGAATAAACATTTTGATGCGACCTGGCATCAGCTGCCGTTCGGTTTTGTTTTGTCGGAGGCAGCAGACGGATCTGATGCAGGAAATCATTAACCGATGAAGCTCCGCCTCTAAAGTCTTGCACACATTGTCAGATGATCTGGCTTTTATCTCGCCTGCATGGTTTGCTGCTTGCTGACAGTTGTGCTGCGTCACTTTCAGGGAGTGAGCGGAGTGCTGACTTCATCTGTGATTTTTCTCAGCTCTGCCTTGACCTCATTTGCTCCCCTGTTGTTCAGAGTGTTCTGTGTCATTTAATTCATATTCGAAACAACATTTCACTTCAAACTCAGCTAGTTAGCTCTGTGTTTGGGTCGGAATTTAAAGTAAAACCCAATCTTTGTGTCCCTTCTGAAAGGACGTGGTGTTTAATTGACTAATCAACCTCAAAACACCTTGTTCTATTTAATAAAGTGGAAACATCATCATCCTCGACATCTTCAGCAGAAGCAGCTTCAGATTTAGAAGATGCTCTGAAACGCTGCCAGAATTGTACAATGCCATTTGTCAGCGCCGTCAACAGAGCTGCCCCAGAGCACTTGGCTTCATTTGATGTCTACTTGTTTTGTGCTCGTGATTGATCACGGGAAAGTGAGTCCTGGTCCTCTTTTCACATTTCAGTAACAACCACTGAACTAATGGATCAATGATTCCCAAATGTCACCAAAACAACCACAGAAAATCACTTTTTGTTCATTAATGACAGGAAAACAATGTGATAATGATCTGACTGTAAAGGAGAACAGGAAATGATGCATGTAGTGCAATGTTAGAATAGAACAGTGTCATCAGCAAACCTTTGCAATTTGTTTATCTAACAATATCTGACTATATTATACAAACAAACAAAAGCTGTTTTTAAAACACTGATTCTTCTTTTTTTTTGTCTTTACATTGGCAGTTTACTGTCTCCAGCTCTCCAGCTAACCTTGCACGCATGTTTTTGATCTGTGGGAGGAAAGCAGAGGAAACCTGCATGCAAAAGGACAATATGCTAACCCCACACAAAAAGCTGGGATTTGAACCTGCAACCTACTTCCTGCAAGGTGACTTTGCTACCTACTGCTCCACCATGCTGCCCATTTTCATCGAATAATTAAAGCTAAACAAACAAGCTAGGTTTTTAACGCAAACACAGTCACGGAACACTCACCCCTCCCCTCGGGTATCTTCCCTGAGACACTTCCGCTGGAGAAGGAAACCCGCAATGTCGGAGAAAACAAGAAAGCGCTAAACACCAGTCACAGTGTTCTAGGTAAACGTCTTTTGTTGTCCGTGAATTCAAACGGTGCTTTTCTTTTTGGGACTCTGGTAGTTTGTCCTAAAGTTAAAGTGGTAGCAGCTGGCTGTTTCTCCTTCTCCGATATTACTGTTGCTAAATACGTGAGAGTGTGATGAGTGGAGGACCCAGGGAAGTGCAGCGGTTTGGTGAGACCGACAACTGGTTGGTTCAGTGGTTGCTTTTGATCCGAAACGTGTTATTGGCGGACGTTTTTAGACAAATGCGAGGGAACCACTGTATCCATTTAAAAAATCTCTACACTATATTTATAGCTACACGATGGTAGAAGTTGTTGAGAGGCATAAAAAAGCTTTAAGCTAATTCGTTTTCCAAATTTGCCAGTGCAGCTTTAATTTATTTGTTTGTTAATCAGTTATCAATAAAGTTCTGTGCTCAGTTTGTTCTTCATTTAATTGTTATTCATATTTCAATTGATTTATTCAGGTGTATAGTCTTAGTTATTTTTATTTAGTCTATAAACTGATTAAGCACTAGAGGAAGGTGGACACCATTGGCAGCTCAAAGGATTTAGAAAAAAGATTTGAGTTTTTCAGATGTTGTATTGTACAGAAGCGTCATTCACTTGGGAAAAAATAACTTTGGTGACTGGCTTTTCAGCTGAACAGGCCCAGTTTCCTCAGGTGTACAAAGCTGACAATCGAATTCTAACCTAATCTTTTCAACATTGTTAAGAGACTAGTGTACTTCCCAGCGTATCAGTGCAAAACAAAGTAAATGTGAATTAAACTCAACAAACAGGACATGTTTGAGTTCATCTTACTTAGCCAGACTGTAATAATGCCTACAGGCACAGAACCTCTTGTAAAAACATTTCAGAGCAATAATGTTATTTATTTATAATCATAATCTCTTTAGGTCAATAAAACATATTTTTATTTTCGTAAGTGAATGCAAAAAGCTTAAGTTGTTTTAAAAATCTTTGTTGAATGGCTTATACATTAAATGTTGTTTAAGACATAACGGTTGACAGTGAAATTATTCTTAAAAACGACATCATCCTCAAGTATGGCAATTTTATTTAGAACATTATGTCCAAACAAGTCTATTAATGCTAAACTAGCTTATTTATGCTAAACTAGCCTATTTATGCTAAACTAACTTATGCAAAACTAGCTTATTCATGCTAAACTAGCTTATTTATGCTAAACTGGCTACTTTGGTAGAGCTTCTGGCACGAGCGCTTCCTGTTGGTTGGACGAGGGAGCGTCATTTCCGGGCAGAGGACGGTCAGAGGCGAACGAGCGCCCACTCTCCACTTCACTCAGACGCCGTAGAAACGTCTCCGGAGCTGGAACGCCGTGGAGGTTGGGTAGACGCACGTCACCGGGAGCTTGACGTGGTTTGGGAGTAAAACCGGAGCTGGCTGTTATGGATTCCTAGCAACGCAGAGCCGGTGGAGCCCAGAGAAACTTTATTTTCCAGCGTGACGGAAACACGGTTTGTTTGCTGAATCCGCTCTACGGGACTGGATGTAATACGTGTTCCGCTGCGCTGCCGGGTCTTCGGAGCTGGAGCGGAGCTGCGAGACACCAGAGAGGAGGTAGCCACCTGACCTCCTGGAAAATAAGACGGCAGCTGATGACTCTCGGGCTGACGGACTTAGTGGCGCATTTAAGCTTCTTGAACGAAGCGGGGCGAGCTTTCCACGAGGCTTCACCTGCTCACAATTAACTCACAGGTGCTTTCATTTACGGTCAACAGAAATTATTTTGTTCTGTCTGTGAAATTCGACCAGTTGGATGCACTTTTCTCCCTTAGAGCTCGGATTAAAGTCATGGATACACCCGGAGACCTTGTGATGCTACCGGCCGGTCAGATCCCGCTCCCCCAGCCCGTGATGCCTGCTCTGTAACCCCGCATCAGCGTGGCGCCGCGTCCCGGTAGCACCACCAGGATGAGCAGCACCGACTTGGAGCGCATGTCGCTCAGCTCCTCGGCCAACTCGGTGGCTTCCAGTGCCCGGACTTTGTCCGCCAACGTCAGGAAGCTCCACAACGCGCTCAACCTCTTGCTGAACGACTTCGAGAGGGAGCAGTTCATCCACTGCCTGAATGTCTACCACTCCAAACGCAACGTGTACGACCTGGTGCAGACCCTCAACGTGATCCTCAACGCGCCCAGCAAGCGGCAACTTCTGCCCATGCTGCGGCTGGTCATCCCCCGCTCGGACCAGCTCCTCTTCGAGCAGTACACTTCGGAGGGCCTTTACTTAAAGTCGGATTTAGTTGCGAGCAACGGCAGCGCCGACCCGCCACCGGGAGACCTCCCCAGCGCGAGCCCGACGCCGTCCGGTCACCTGTCTCCGAACAACCCTCCCGAGTTCCAGGTGGCTCTGCGCGGCTCGCCGGACAGCTTCAGCACCAGCAGCGACGGGACAGCCCCCCTGGTGCCTCTGCTCGGCCGGAACTTCATCCACGAACCGCCGGGCGAGCTGCGCCAGGTCACCATGAAGCGACACAAGAGCAACGAGGGCCTGGGCTTCAGCATACGGGGTGGCTCGGAGCATGGAGTCGGGATCTACGTGTCGCTGGTGGAGCCCGGAAGCCTGGCGGAGAAGCAGGGGCTCCGGATCGGTGACCAGATCATGAAAGTCAACGAGAAAGTTTTTGAAAAAGTCACCCACGCTGATGCAGTCAAAGTAAGCTCCATGTTTCTGTTTTGGTGTTCAGATGACCGCGTAAAGGCAGCCATGTAACTGGCTCATTTAGTCAGAGTGACCTCTGGGAGGTAACGGGGGTCGTTAACTGTTATTAGGTTATTAATAACCCCAGAGTGGGTGTTTTACAGCAGGAGCAGTTGTAAACTTCTGACTGCTGCTGCTACTTAGGAAGCTCTTGTGTAACTAGACACCTTGAAAGCAGGTGGTAACCATAGAGGCACGCGTGTGCGTGTGTGTGTGTGTGTGTGTGTGTGTGTTTTATTCCTCAGTGCTGGGATAAAGAAACCCTGAAATGATAAAAGAGCATCTATATTTTCTGTGTCTTTGAGCTGTCCATGGTGCTGAATTACCACCCATTCTTTCTGCCTCCCTCTAGCTTTAGCAATTGATTTTCCATGTTAAGTAAACAAATGGGTGAATGAACGACCGTTTTATTTGCCCCTCATCAGAGGATGTCACACTGCTGCAGCAGCAGACGTGTAAAGAGACAAGTTCTCTAGAGAGTAAATACACACTAAAACCTACAGGAGGTACTCGGTGCAAAGTCTGAAATAACAAAAAAAAGTTTTATAAGTAAAACTACAGAACATTAAAAGTGCTCCGTCCAAACAAAGCAGCAGAATGTGAAAATGTTCTCACTGGCAAATTAATGAGCTACTGTAGGTGCTATAATGTTGGAATGTGGCCTAAAAAGAGTTCTAGAACACTTTATTTTTTCACAACAGGAAACTGTTCTTCGAGCCTCCGTAAAGGGAGCCCGAGTCACACCTATCTACTTCTGGACCAGTGCAAGTCAACGGGGCTATAAAAGCAATCATCTAATCTTCTCAGCTTGATGTGATGTCTGCGAATTTTAAAGACAGGTTTTGATGCCAAGAAGGTGCTTATTCTCGGAGGGGGGGGGGGGGGGACTTATTTTAGGTTTTGTGTGAAAATATGTTCAGGACTACAAATGCTCATCACCAAATTCACATCGTCGCACCAGACACTGAGAAGAGCAGAGGGGAAATGGCTCTAAGTTCAACGAACTTTGAATCCTTCCCTCAGGAGGAAAGAACCACCAGTAGTTTTGCCATGTGATGTAATAGCAGCTACGCTGGGGGAGTGGTTGTTCTGTGTTGACATCATATATGCGACGTGCCAACGTCTGATTTGTAGTCATGCTAATTATGAACTTTCACAAGCTGGTTATAAACCATTGCAAAGTACGTGACATGCGCGGTTGAAACACACGTCTTTACTTTTTATTTAAATGGAACATATGTGTGATCCAGGGCACAATAAGCGGATTAGAGAAAAGCTCTTTTAGCCACGTCGACTTATATTCATCTTTTCGTTCTTCCGGGTACTCGTGAGTATTGTTGGGGCTCAAAATGGCCCAGGAGCCCTGACAAATGGCAAACACCACTCCATAAAAAGACCTACAATGGAAAGACTGGTTGGTCCCACCCATCCAGCCAGAACATGAATATTTAATGAACTCATGTTGACGGCCGGTTTAGCTCAATGGCTACAAAATCTGTGTACAGCTGAGTTCAATACCAGGATAACTCAACAGGTAGGGCTGGGGGTAAACGATTATTTTTAAAACGATTATTCTGACGATTATTTTATCGAATAGTCGACGATTCTAATGACTATTTAGAAAATTAATCTAATGATTATTTTTCTATTGCACAATTAACAAAAACCAGAAAATCTCAAATAAATTCCTCAAAAAAATTGATAAATTGTTACTGTAAGAGAATAAACACTACGGGCCTTCCATTTTGTATAACACTGCGTTTGTGTTGGTTGGTTATGTTCTGGTGACGTGTAGAACGTGGGAGTGCAGGCTGCTGCCTGAGAGGTGGTTGGAGACGGAGTGTCTCCATGCTGCTTTGTTTTGGTCAGTTATGAGCGTGAGGCGAGTGGTGTTACGACCCTTCCTGGGGAGTTTGGCTCGTGTGCAAAAAGGAAGGGACAATAACGGGATTTAAAAGTTAAAATGATGATTAGGTTTATTTACAACTACAAAAAAATCATAAATCTTTCCATCCACAGGTTGGGAATAATAAAACTAATTCTGCCTGTGGGGAATTAAAACAAAGTACAAATAACTAGGGATGTCCCACTGGGCAAAGATTACAGGGTTCTGGACCAAAATAAGGATCTCCAAAGGTTCAAACTCTAAACTGGGCGGTTAAACCAAACTCAAGGTGATATTTTAAACTAAACCGAAAACCCACAACACTCTAAATGTAATAAAAGGGAGATCTGCACCACAAAAAAGATTAACTCTAAACCAAAACGGTACAGCTTATCCAAACGCAAGAAGCTGTTGGCGAAAATGCTAACAGTAGCTTTACCAACGTTAAGTTCAAGTTACCAAGTTTAAATAAACCAAAAACACCCAGCAGCAAACAGACCAGCACGGAGGAGAGACTGCTACCACCAAAACAGTTCTCCTAATGTCTGAAAGAAGCTCCTTAATGAAGGGAGAAACGCTCCCGGTGATGTCCTACATCTGCTATAGAGACGGAGCAGCGCATCTGACCCCGGAAGTTGTTGTCCGTTGCCGGGAGACGAAGGCGGGCAAAACAGGAAAATAATCTAGTAGTGGACGGACGTTGTTCCGGGTCTTCGGTATTTGGCGGAGATGTTAGTGAAGGCGGAGAAGAGGGCGAACTAGAGGAAAAACAGGCAGATTCCTCCTCCATTTACAAACTCCTGGGGATGCAACAAGTGGGCGCGGTGCGTCGACTTCCGGATCTGACGTCGACAAATTTTTAGAATCGAGCCGTCGACGTCGTTGAGGCTTCGCTACAGCCCTATCAACAGGCGAGCTATGGATCTTTACGACATTCATTGAAAGTCTGCATGTTCCTGGAACGCTAAATGTGTTCTCTGACCTTCTTCTTTGTTTTCCTTAATGTTAGCAACAGCCCGGCTATTGTTATTGTGCGGTTAGCATTACCGCGGCAAACGTTTCTATACCGTCGATGTAGAAGTGGGTTGGGACGTGCTAATTTAAGGGAGTGTGCATGACACCTCCTGTTCCATCACAAAGGTTCTGGGCTGGACTGAGATCTTGTGACTGTGAAGGCTGCTGGAGTCCAGTGAACTCATGGTCGTGTTCTAGAAACCAGTAGAGAAGATCTGACTTTTGTGACATGATTCATGTGTGATTCTGCTGGAGGTAGCATCAGAAGATGGGTGCATGTGGTCATAAAGGGATGGGCATGGTCAGCAGCAAGACTCGGGTAGGCTGTGGTGTTTAAGCCAGGCTCAGGTGAGGCTGGGGGGTCCACAGTGGGACAAGAGCACCTCCCATCACACCACCACCATGGCGTTACCAGCAGCAGCAGCAGCCTAAAGTGTTGATACAAGGCAGGATGGATACATGCTTTCATGTTGGTGACGCCAAATTCTGACCCAACCATCTCAGTGTTGCAGCTGATCTCAGATCAGCTGTTTCTGAAACACACCGACCAGCCCATCAGCCCAAAACCTCGATCAGAGCCACTTCAATCCCCTTTCACCCCATCCTGATCCTAGCTGAAACTTTAGCAAGTCCATTTCACCACATCCAGATGCACCGAGCTGCTGCCAGACCGTGGTAAACAAACCGGTATAGCAGAGTGACTACAACAGAAACTATTTTAAAGAGATGATTTTAACTAGTTTTAAAATCTGTTTTATGTGGTGTAAGTAAGGGTTCTGTAACCCGGCTGCAGCTTGTCCAGAATGCTGCAGCAAGACTCTTGGACAACAAAAGGAAGCATGAACACGTGACACCAGTGTTGGCTGCTCTCCACTGGTTACCTGTTGATTTTAGAATTGGTGTTAAACTACTTTTAATGGTGTTAAAGGCGCTGAATGGTGTGGCTCCAGCCTATTTGGCGGAGTTGCTGCAGCCATATGTTCCGGCCCGGTCACTCCGCTCTGAGAACCAGCTGCTGCTTGTGGCTCCTAAGGCCGGGTTAGAGTTGAGAGGGGACAGGGCGTTCTCTGTTACGGGTCCGAAACTGTGGAGCACACTGCCCCTAACCATTAGGGGCTCTCCATCAGCAGCAGTTTTTAAAATGAGGCTGAAAATCTACTTTTATGATCTGGCTTTTAATTCTGTGGGTTAGCAATTGCTAATGTTTTATATTTTGTAATTCTCATTTGTGGTTTTAATGACGTCTGTAGCGCTATATGTTTTATTGTATTATTTTGTTGTACAGCACCTTGGTGGCATGCTCATGCCTGTAAGGTGCTTTATGAATAAAGGCTGAGTTGAGTTGAGTAGTTTAGTTGTAGGAGTCGTGTTTGCAGCTCAGTTTGAGAGAAAAAGATGACATCCCTAAGGGGGCTGCATAAACCTAAAACATAAAAGAATTAATATATTAGAGACATTAATTCCGTCATATAAAAGAGCAGACATAACACTTTATTATTTCTGAGTTTTACAGGCCGCCGTTTTCTGGATTAACTGCAGGTGCAGCAGTAAACCTGAGCATGGATGATTATAGGTAATTTTACAGATCTAACTGAATCCATAGCTGCTGGCCGTCTGACCCCTCAGATGCAACCAAGCAGTATACGAGGAAGTAGAGAATGGATATTATAGTCATTGATTATGGCTAAAGCAGACAGAAAACTTGAAAATGGATAAAATGTAGTTTCCACCTATGTATACATGAACTGTGTGGCGCAATCACATTACGATGAACCCGATAATCACTAGTGCAGGTTACAGAGCTGGACAGAGTCTGTAAATCTGGTGTGAGTGAAACGCCCTAAGGCTGTTCCCTGAGGGATTGACATTGTAATCTTGTTAAAGGCTTTTAGATTGAATCTCATTTTTACAATAAAAACCAATAAAAGACTAGATTTTTGCTGCCAAGCGTTGTCATTTCCCAAATATACTGATAAATACTCTTAGTTTGGTTGTTTTTAGTTGTGTTTTCTGCTTAAAGGTCCTGTCACTGAGAAATCGTGTAGCTCTCTTCACG